TAAAAAACATAATAAAACGCGGATTTCACCCTAACCCGATCTACAAAGCGGATTTCACTATTTCGCAACTCATGTTCTATAATTATTACTTGCCCATCTCTAAATTGCACCCATTTTTCAGTGTTTATATTTTGTACTTAATTTAATATACAAAAAAAAAACGGATAGCCAGATCATGATCATAACACCTTATATAATTTTGCTATTTCAGTATTTGAAGGATTGATTCTAAGCAACGACCGGTCCTACGGTCATGCATGTGTTTCTTTGACGTTAGCCTACTATTATTTATAAACAGACTTATCCGTTATTTTACTTTTTTTTATAATTTCACTATCATATATACAACGAAAATCTCTTATTAAACACATTATGACAAGTGTAACTTACTTTGACACCCTCAAAAGAGACTTTTGCGATGTCCTTATAACTGAAGAAGGTACAGACACGGCCACTTTTTTGGAAGCAACTGAAGGGTTGATTAAGATGTTTGGTAAGTGGTTTTGAAGATTATTCATATAGAAGAAAGTTATTCATTGTACATTTGAATTACAATTATTGGATTAGATTTGCTTGGAAGTTCGGCTTTTAATGTCGTTCAAAAGGACATGACCGGTAATGTTAATGTAAGTTCAGCAGTATACAACGTATCAGCTTTCATCCACCTCTTACATCGTGTATCTTTAAATAGAAAATTAGAACACGTTATGAGTCTGATCGCATAAGAAATAATACCCTTGAAAACTTGGTTATTAGCGAACGAAAAGAAAAGAAACGTATAGCTACTGAAGGTTTATTGTGGTTAAAAAGGCATGAAACAATTATTTTTTTTATCTCTGAATTCTAATATGTTCTGTTTGACTTCATATGGTGTATTTCATATATTATACAGAGGATTAGAATTTACTTCTGTAGCTTTACGTCGTTCGATTAACGAGACAACCGAAGAACTTTCTGTTTCTTTTACAAATGCATATGGTGTTACTTTGAAACCATTCCATAGTTATTTGGTTCGCCCTGTGTTCTCGGTATGTTTAATAAATAATCAATGTTTTTTGGTCAATATTTGCCTAATTTATTTTTTATTTTAAAAGCTTGCTATGAAAGCCTGCCCGTATCGTGTTGAATTTTACAAAAAGCTTGGTGATGATCAAGCAAGGGTTTATGAACTATATGAACGTTGGTTAACTGCTCTCGAACGAATTGTTGCCAAGCTAAACTGTTTTTATGAGCAAGGTGGTCATGATAAAGGATTTTAGATATGGCTCATTTGTACATACATATAGATGATAAGACATTTGAGACAATTTTTATTAGAATTATTAGCGTGTATCGATTTTTGATGAATCGATTATATAAAAATAAAGAATACTGTGAATACTATTTATAGGAATGTAATATTTAATTTTAATATTCTAATCAAATCGAATACGTCATAGTTGCTTTCTTAGATGGTATAAAAATATTTGCGATTAAAAGAGTGAAAAAAATAAGCAATGTCAAAAGAGTCACGCAAAAAAAAAGTTTTGCGGAAGTCTTAGTTTTTTGTAGAGTTCCGAACCGGATATAAAATTGTCACCCGGATCACCCGTATAATCTGAAATCGGGTAAACCGGTTGAAAAAG